CTGTCGCCTTAATGGCTACCGATCGGGCTCCGAAGCCTCACGACTCCCACAAGATAACCCTCCGAAAGGGACCCTGAAGAGCCCCAGGAGGTCCACAAAGACACAAACATCGATTACACGCAAGAGTGACCCTTGGCAAGAGTGATCATGGGTGCGCGGCTTTAGAGGACCGCGTGGAGGCAAAGTCCAAGCGCGCAAGCATTTGCTTGGGGAACCCTGTGGTCACGCAGCCTATATTAACACCCCAGCTGAATCCTGCGAGGGCCCATTTTCTGGCCGCCACGAAACTCGTTGACCAGTCCTGACCACGTCTTCAGTTTAGGCACCTGCTCTGGCAAACTATAACCTAAACAAGGACGCCCTCTCTTGAAACTGCTGGCCTCCAACGAAAGATATGGGCCCCTCTGGCTGAACCCCTGACACGGCAGAGTAGGGCTTCGGCCGGAAGATGCAAGAACTCATGGGCTCTCTAGGCAGGAAGAGGCTTGCAAGCTCTCGGGATCTCGAGTCCCTAAAGTAGCCCTTACATAAGCGAGCCCCAGACCTGTCGAGCCCTTCCGAGGGGCCTGCCTTGTCGTTCTGGGCCGCCGTTGGACGACCCCAGCGGCCCAGAAGCGGCCCTCGCAGGCCTGGAAGATGGTGGAAAGCCTCCGCTCTGCTCTTCCAAAACGCGGTTTACTGCGAAGGCCTCCCGAACGGGGCCAGAGCACATGGGGTCCGAGAATCTCGCCGCATCGCCAATGCATAGGCGATAAATCGGCGGCCGCAGGATGGGGAAGAGAGGACCCCAGGCATGCGATGTCCTTACTTGTTCAAAGAGGGTCCCTTGAAGTTTCGATCCTTTCCGCAGGACCTGTGTATCCTGATGAATCGCTTTTGATGGTCCCGGGGACCAGTAAGGGGCCCCCAAGGCCGAAGACGGTCGCGCTCTTTTCACGGCGCGAGCATGTCTGGGGCTACAGGCTACGCCGCATCGCCCATGCATCGGCGATGCGGCGCGATCTCCGAAGCCGTCAGCATCGGCCCCTTCTTGGGAGACCTCTCGAGCTGGAGGTCCTGAGAGGTCGTCAGGGGCCGCACAGACTGCACTGGCCCAGGACGAAGATCAAATGGCCCCGCGCGGCGGCGTCGTGCAAGAGGCGCTCACTTCAGAACAAAGGCTGGCGAAAGCGCCCCCCGCCAACGCCCGCTTCCGACCCCCATTTGCCCCCCACGCTGCCCTTGCTCCACTTTCCTCCGCCTCTTCACCCTCCTGTTCACCATGCCCTCCTCCGCCTCTTCCGCCTCCTTTTCCTCCTCCTCCTCCTCCTCCTCCTCCTCCTCCTCCTCCTCCTCCTCTTCTTCAGCCTCTTCCTCCTCCTTCTCCTTCTCACCCTCCTTGATTTTTTCATCCTCCGCCTCTGTCTTCCTCCTCCTGACCATCAGGCTTCCACGCGCGCCCATTCTCCTCCGCGCCCTCCTCCTGCTTCGCCGACTCCTCCTCCCGCTCCTCGGCCTCTTCCTCCTTCTCCTCCTCTTCCCCATCATCATCAAAACCACCACCACCATCATCACCATCATCATCAGCATCATCACCATCATCATCATCATCATCATCATCATCATCATCAGCATCATCATCATCATCATCATCATCATCATCATCATCATCATCATCATCAGCATCATCATCGTCATCATCATCATCATCATCGTCGTCACCAACACCACCATCATCATCATCATCATCATCATCATCATCATCATCATCACTATCAGCATAATCATCACCATCACCGTCATCATCATCATCATCATCAGCATCATCATCACCACCATCCTCATCATCATCATCATCATCATCACCATCACCAGCATCATCATCAGCATCATCATCAGACACATCATCAGCATCGGCAGTAGCATCAGTTTCATCATCATCATCATCATCATCATCATCAGCATCATCATCATCATCATCGTCAGCGCCATCACCAACATCATACTCAGCAGCATCATCCTCATCATCATCCGCAGCATCATCACACGCGTCATCATGATCAGCAGCAGCATAATCAACATCAGCATCAGTAGTAGCATCAGCATCATCATCAGCATCAGCATCATCAGCATCATCAGAATCATCATCACCGTCAGCATCATCATCAGCAGCATCATCAACCTAACCAGCATCGCCATCATCCTCACCTGTATCATCAGCATCGTCATCATCAGCATCATCATCATCATCGTCGTCGCCATCATCATCATCATCATCATCATCATCAGCAGCAGCAACCTAATTAGCACCATAAGCAGTCCCATCAGTATACCATCATCTGCATCAGCATCAGCAGCATCATGAGTATCATCAGCATCAGCAGCATCAACGTCATCATCATCACCAGTATCATCAGCAGCACCATGATCATCATCAACAGCAGCATCCTCATAAGCAGCATCAGCATCAGCATCAGCAGCAGAAGCAGCGTCAGCGTCAGCATCCACAGCCGCATCAGCAGCATCGCCATCATCATCGTCATCATCATCAGCATCATCGTCATCATAATCATCATCATCAGTATAATCAACATCACCATCCGCGTGAGCATCGTCATGATCATTATCATTATCAGTATCTTCAAAATCATTATCGTCATCAGCATCATCATCAGCAGAGTCAGCATCTTCATCAACAACAGCAGCCTCATCATCATCAGCAGCGTCAGCGTCAGTATCAGCAGCAGAAGCAGCGTCAGCGTCAACATCCGCAGCCGCATCAGCATCACCGCCATCATCACCATCACCATCAACAGCATCAGCATCAGCATCTCATCAACATCGTCATCATCGTCACCATCAGCATCAACAACATCGTCATCATCACCATCATCACCATCATCACCACCACCATCGGCATCATCATCATCATCATCATCGTCATCATCTCAAGCATCATCATCATCATCAGCAGCATCATCATTAGTACCAGCACAAGTACCATCCTCACAAGCGTCATCTACATCATCAGCATCGTCATCAACATCATCCTCATACTCATCAGCATCATCGTCATCATCATGGCACCATTAGCAGCAGCAGAAGCACACTCATCATCGTCATCATCATGAGCAGTATCAGGACCATCAGCAGCAACAGCGTAAGCATCCGCATCCGCATCCGCATCGTCATCATCAGTATCAGCAGCATCATCATAAGCATCATGATCATCAGAATTATCAGCACCAGCATCATCCTCATGAGCATCATCACCATCATGATCATCATCATCGTCGTCATCAGCAGCATCGCCATCACCACACACCATCATCAGCATTACAGTCATCAGCATCGTCATCATCCTCGTCAGCATCATCATCGCCAGCATTAGCATCAGTATCACAATCATCGTCATCGTCATCATCATCATCGTCATCGTCATCATCACTGAATCATCACCGTCGCCGTCGCCGACGTCGTCGTGGTCGTCGTCGGCGCCACTGCCCCCACCGTTGTATTCGTCACAGTCGCCGCCGTCGTCTTCGTCGTTCTCGTCATCCTCCTCCTCCTCCTCCTCCTCCTCCTCCTCCTCGCCACCGCCGTCGGTTTCGGCGTCGTCATCGTCATTGCCATCGTCACTGCCATCCTCGTCGTCGTCCTCGTCTTCGTCCTCATCCTCGTCGTCGTCCTCGTCCTCGTCCTCCTCCCCCGGCGTCGTCGTCGTCGTCATCGGCGTCGTCGTCATCGGCGTCGTCGTCGTCGTCGTCATCGGCGTCGTCGTCGTCGTCATCGGCGTCGTCGTCATCGGCGTCGTCGCCGCCGCCGCCGTCGTCGTCGTCGTCGCCGCCGTTGTCGTCGTCATCCTCATCCTTATCCTCATCCTGATCATCATCGCCGATTTCTCCTCCTCCTCCTCCTCCACATCGGGCCTGTGAAAGCAGCGTGCTGGAGACGCATCTGGCGCCCGACTCCCAACGGTTTGCGAAGGCCGGCATGGCTGCGAACAAGCACTGTACACGGACCCCGCGACCAGCCTGAAGGAGTAGAAGAAGTCAGACGACAGCGTGAACCTCGGATCTCTCAGCCCGCCTATTTTGCGACAGGTTCCTTCGTGGTCATGAGTGCAGCGGTCAAGACTGCGACGGCGGGCAACTGCCTGGCGGCGAGGCCCATGACCGAAGTCTTCCAGCAGCACAGCAGCACGTGAAGGACACCCGCCTACCTGAGCGACTACGTGACGCAATTCTGCGTCCAGAACCCGAGGGGCGACCGCGCTGCCAACGTACATCGAAGAAAGCACCAAGGTTCAAATCAGGCTCGTCGTCAAGACGACCAACGGACGGGATCGCAGGTAGACCAGGAACCGCGATCCAAAGTGCCTGGCGGGCTTGTTCATCCAATGCAGGTTGATCGACATCATTGTGATGCGCCTCCTACACTCTTGTCTCTGATTCGTGATGGGCCGACGAGTCCTTTGGTGTTGCAAAGAGGCATGCCCGACTCTGGCGTGGACCCGGAGCCACCTTCCACCCTCACCATGCCTCCGAAGAATGTGATCGACAAGATGCTCTTTAGACCCACGTCGTGATGGCTGAGCGGCACCAGACGAGGGCGCCCGCTGTTTCCTGTTGCTGCTTCCTCTCCTGCCCCCCGCAAAGGCGGGGTGGCAGGGCCTCCTACCCTGGGTTTGCCTGGCGGGGCCTCGTGTGCGGCTTCCCTGGCCGTGTCTCCCGCAGAGACCGCCTCTGAACTTGAGCGACGTCGTCCAATCCTGCTGCCGGGCCCTCTCGTCCTCCTGCTTCTGCGCCGCAGGCCCCGTGTGGCCTCGACCTCCCGCCCGCTCTGTAGCAGAGCGGCAGGCTTCGCGCCCTCGTGGCGGAAGGCCTCGTCTGGGATGCTCGGGCGGCGGGGGCGGGCCGCTTGCAGGCGCGGATCGTGGCGGGGGGCGCGAGATGGAGGAGGAGCGTGCACGTGCTGCCCTGCAGGACCGCAGGGAAAGGTGGGCCGTGGCATCTGAGCGA